CAGGCTGGCAGGCGTCACCCCACCGTGTTGTCCCTCTCCGCCCGCAGCACCAGAATGGGATGTATGGGCTGCACCAGGACGTGCACCACTTCAACTCCTTCGACAGAGTGTGGAGCCTGCCCCGGCTGCTCAGCCAAGCGCATGTCCGGACAGGTAGGGACACAGGCAGGGAAACCCCCCCAGCTCTGTGCACCGAACCCCTTTGGGCGAGAGAGCTCGACAGCTCACCTGCCTGCAAGCTAGACAGCACCGCCTGGACCCGTGCCCACGCTCTGTGCTGACACCCAGGTTTCGCTTTACTTCCCCCCGCCGCTGCTCCTCTGCCGCCCTCGTCACTTTCTCATCTGTTCCCCACCCCTCTCCTTCCTGGTTCCCAGGGTCACACAAGGCTTGTGCTTGACCCAAACTTCCACCCGGGCTGCTCAGCTGCTCTAGCACTTACCCACGCCTGTGACTGGGGCAGCGTGGTCCCCGGCTGGGTCCCGTTTTCTGACCAGATCTGCAAGTGCCTCCGCAACCGGCAGAACTGACCGGAGAAGCCGGCAGCATCTTCCACTCCCAGCAGCCTATGCTGAGCGCAGCCCGTGCTGGAGCAGATGAGCTGCATCAGCCCCCAGGGAGGAGACAGCAGCAGGACCCGACGTCCTGCCCCCAGCTCCCCGTGCTCTTGGCACACTGTGTGTTCTTGCAGGGATAATTGGGAAGAAGCATGTTGGGCCCGAGGCTGTCTACCCCTTTGACTTCGCCTACACCGAAGAAAACAGCTCGGTCTTGCAGGTTGGGAGGAACATCACTCGGATAAAAGCGCTCGTCCGGCAGTTCCTGCAGAGCCAGGATGAGAGGTGAGACGGACCCTGCGTCCCCAGGGCAGGCTGCGAGGGGCCACAGGAGAGGAGAGGGAAAGCGGCCTCGCTGAAGACGTGTCTCCATGTCCCAGTTGGTCACAAATAGGAAGTGACACTTTGTCTCTGAGTCACCCCATATCCAGAAGCCCAGATTAGGTGGGAGTCCTCCTGCTGACCCCAGCTCACCCCTGCACAGCCCAAGGAAGGTCTCGGGGGGGGGCATGGGCAGCCCTTTGCTACACCACCTCCACCCTCTCCATCTCTAGGCCTTTCTTCCTCTATGTCGCCTTCCACGACCCCCACCGCTGTGGGCACTCCCAGCCCCAATATGGGGCCTTTTGTGAGAAATTTGGCAATGGAGAGACTGGCATGGGCTGGATCCCGGACTGGAAGCCACAGCTCTACCGCCCAGAGCAAGTGCAGGTGAGAGCCTGTGGGGCTGCATGGGGCTATATGGGGTGGCATGGGGCTATATGGGGCAGCGTGGGGCTATATGAGACTATGCAGGGCCAAATGGGCGCTATACATGACAGCAGCCTCCGCTGGAGCCAGGGTGGCTGCGAGCTGGCCCCCACCTTGGTCACTGCCACCAGCATTATGGGCAAGAGCTGGCAAAGGCCACCCCAGCATACCCGTGACCTCCTTCCCCATGATGGCCACGTGCCACTTTCCCTTTCTCCATTTAGGTCCCCCACTTTGTTCCAGACACTCCGGCTGCCCGGGCGGACCTGGCAGCCCAGTATACCACCATCGGGCGCATGGACCAAGGTAGGAGCCATGGGGGCCACACTGGCACCGGCGAGTGCTGCGGTCCATCGCGCCCCCCACCCCACCTCAGCTCTGCCCCTCCATCCGCAGGGATCGGGCTGGTCCTGGAGGAGCTGCGGCGTG